CCAATTTTGCCAACACCATTTGTTAAAAAGGCTGTCGTTCCCCCACTTCACTGATTTCATCTCCTTGTCAAAGATCAGTTGACCATAGATAGATGGGTTGTAAATGTTTTTTCTACATCAGGTAACATGACTCCTCCTCTCCCAAATAGGTATTCTTGTGAGACTACAGAATTTCCTAATATAAAAACCATTCTTGCATTCTTGGGATACCTTACTTGGTTGTGATCAATACTTTTTCACCAATAGCACTAGTGCTGCCAACCCAAAGGCAAATAATCCAAATCCACCAGCTGCTGCATGAAAGATGGGCAATCTCGATCTCCATGTGATTTAGCTTGTGAAATCACCCTAGTTCCGATGGATCCCAACTGTGGGTTCCATCTCACTGCAACCCTATATAGCAGGGTGGAGCTGCCACAGGTGGTTTTCTAGGCTGAGCAGATCACCAGGCCCTTCTCCCTTGGAGCTGCTGTGAGGTTGAACTGCCAACCTAGGACTCCAACACATAATTGGGAATGTACAATTTAATCCCTAACTCTCTCTGATGTCTCCTTCTGCTTTAGAAGGTTTCTTGCCTTTTTTTCCTTGGTGTGGTTGCCTTGAGCTGTCACTTGTTGGGAGAGTCTCCATATAACCCTGCCCAAGTGACAGCCAATAAAAAGCTGGGTTATGCTTCTTGTTATATTTCCTCTTCCTTGATCAACTCCCCAATCCCTAATTTACCACATAGTATAACATAGACCCTTCTAGCTAAGTATGCACAGAAATTACTGTTTTTAAATGGCTGTATATTCAGTGACATGTTTACTGTAGTTAGCTTTTATTACTCAATTCCTTTACTGGCATTTAGGTAGAATCAGCTACTTCCCCCCCCCCATTTTTATTGTATTTTAAGTGTACCATCAAATCAGATCTGACTGGTACAGGAGGGGATTTCCCCCTCCTTCTCCAGCAGAGCACCTGGTGGAGAATCAGCTATTAAAAATCATCCTGAAATAAGTTTTTTATATGTATAAAAATACATAAACATACATAAAAAAAGAAACTTTACATATAACATATTTACATGTACAATATTTTTTTGGGCCTGATTTCTAGGTGAAAGAGAATGCCCTATCTTCCCACTTATTCCTACCTAACAGCTTTCTGGCAGGTTTCCTGATAAATCAAGGAAAGACTTCAGTTTCAAAACATGCTGTGTAAGTTCATCTCTGAGTAGGTCCTGGCATACACTGTATATCAGGACTTAGTGAATTTCAAGACTGAAAGGATCTCTTGGCCTGCTTGTCTGGAAAGTGCCATGTTTCCATGGAGGCCTTTTGTCTTCATTGTTCTCAAAATTTCTTCTAAAATAAAAAAAAAATTGTACATCCCATTAAGTCATTTGGTGAAGAATGATCCCTAAGTAGTCTAATACACCAATAAATACAGATATTTAAAAATTCATCTAGCCAAACAATGAAAATTTCTATTAAATGAAATTGAACTTCAGATAGACTGGAACATTCTGTATCTTCAAAGTGTTGCTGAAAGATTGCAATGTAACCTACTCTGGAGTCAACTAAAAAAATGAATAGTCTTGTCATTACAGGGGAGGGTTCTGGGGGGCCATAAATCTATACTCTGTTATACTTCTAACCCAAAGGCAGAGACTCTGGTGAATTAACCAGTGGCTCCGAGGTTAGAAAGATGGTGGTCTCCTACCATGTGGTTTATAGCTCCAGAAATCCAATGGAAGGAAGGTCAGCTGAGTTGATTCTCACTCAAAGGCAATAAAAGTTATTACAGAAATTATCTGTTTGTGTATCTATGCATATTTACTTATTTTTGGCTCCAATCTCTGCCCAATACTTGTTTATAAACAAAAATGCCAGAAAAGGCAAACTGAACTCTTTTATATTACACAATGATAGTAAATGATGATAAAATATAGCAGTGTTGTAAGGATGGCACAGGGCCACGTAATATTTGTTTTGTCACACAAAGGATTGTTATGAGTCAGAAATTACTTGATGGCATTTACTACTGACAATAGTAGTATATGAAGCTGATTATTCGAAGGATTTTAAAAAGCAAATACTATTATAAATGAATGAAACTAGAGAGAACAAACTAAGAAAGGAGTTAACAAAAAATAAAATTAGGCGAGCTCTGGTGGCCTAGTGGCAAGAAACTGCATTGCAATCCCAGAGGTGCATGGTTTGAATCCATCAGATGCTCTTGTACCAGTCAGATCTGATTTGATGGTACACACACAAAAAAATAATAAAATTTTAAAAAAACCAAACCAGTAATCATGCTGCAGTTTGAGGACCTGGGGATATAAGGATTAAGATAAAAATCCACTGTGATGAACTGTAAGAGAGAAAAGACTAATTTGCTTTGGAAGTAATCTGAAAACCAAGATAGGAAAATTTATATGAGGCAGTAGCTTCATGAAAAACTTCAGGTGAACCGAAGAAAGTGTAGCAGAACTGTCCTGGGCATGAAGATTAGAACAGAGAGGCAAAATCCAAACTACTGAGGACAGGACCAAAGATGAAAGAAATGGAGATTCTGTGTTTGAATATTTGGAAAAAAGATAAATCTTTTAAAAGTCAGAAAAAATCTCAACATGAGAAAAGATGTTGCGAAAAATCTCAACATGAACGTTATACCTGTAATTAAATTAACAATTGTTATTTATGGACTTTTGGTGGCCTAGTTTTTAGGGAGCTGTGTTATCAAACCAAAGATAGGTGGTTCAAATCCACTAGCTGCTCTGAGGGAGAAAGACAGGCAGTCTCCTGTGCAATTTACAGTCTCTGAAAAATCTGCTGGAGGGTTCTGTTACTTACAACTTTTTATATTAACTGCAAAATAAATGGCTCAAGAAAAAACTGATCTGTCTTACCTGGATTGTTTTCTTTAATGGTAACTAGATAGAATAATCCTCCTGGTGAAAGCAGGTCTGCAGCCAGTGGGAAGAACCTGTCCATGACTTGTCGACCATCTCTGCCTCCTGCCCATGCTGCCTCTATTCCATTACTTCCCACCTGTGACCAATGAGAAGGGGGTTTTCTTTTGACTGGTGTTATATTTTGACTCATAAACAACCTTTTAAGCAAATGGTATTCACCAGATAACGGATTTTGTATTAGAGTTTTGAAAACAGTGCTCTACATATAATAAGAGCTTAATAGTTAAAACTTTTATGTTTAAATTGAACACCATGCATAATAGTTAAAAACACATAATTAGGAACTCAAAGTGAGAGTTTGAAACAAAGTTTCAAATAGTCCAACACATCTGGGTATCTTCTAGACATTTAAAGTCTAATTCCCAGACATCTTTTTTAAGGAAACCATTTATTTTACAAAGATGCACTGAAGAATTTGTTCCTCAATCTATATTCTAAAATGGAGTTTATGAGTTTGTAAAGTATTATAAATCTTTCCATTATAAGTTGTTTTCAAAATTAAAGGATATTTCATATTAATCACTCATTACTTTATCCTAAACAATTATTTTTTATTGTATGAAAAATTCAATTTTATACTAGTTTACTTACAAAGTTCATATACAGTGTTTTTCACTATGGATCTTTCCACTTTCCTTTACCCACCCTTTCCTCCACTCATCAAATTGTTTAAATTAAATTTTAAAATGTTTAAATTATTAGGAAGATCTGGTGGCCTAGCGGCAAGAAGCTGTACTTCAATCCTGAAGGCACATGGCTCAAATCCACCTGATGCTCTACTGGAGAAGGAGAGGCAATCGCCTCCTGTGCCAGTTGGATAGGATTCGACGGTACACAACCAAAAAAAGTTTAAATTATCACTTTATACACATATACGTATACATGTTATACATACATATATATGTATTATTTATATATATAAAATCATGTCTTCTGCTTTTATTCATTTAACATAGCAACTATATTTCCATAATATTTTCTCTTTTATTATATTAATATATATATTTTTTCAATGGAGTTAAGCTCATGCACACGCTTTTCAAGCTGCACTTTTTCCTTATCAGTGCTTTGCCTGTCTGTCCCTCCATTTCTCCCTCTCACTACCCACACCTTTTTTCTTTTTGCTAATGTTTTACAAAGAATAACAGTCTACATTTTTTTTTCCTGTATCTTGCTTTTTCTCATTAAAAAATGCCTTATGGAAACCCATTCATATTTGCAGTTCATTTTTAATGGTTACGGTTCATGGTAGATAAGTACCACAAGCTATTAACTCAATCTATTTGCTTAATTTCTTTGTATCTATTTCCAATTATTCTCATACTTGTCATCAAGTTTACCAATACAACTTTACATAAAGCTAAACTCAGGACTTTTATTTTTCAAGACTTGCCCCGGCAGATGTCTCTTTCTTGGCAACCTAGAGTTCTTTTTGCTTTCGCCTAGGCTGAATTCTCCCTTTTCCTGGGTCTCATGTCTCCCACTTTCTTAGTTTACTCCATATTTTGGTGGAGCCCCTTCTATAGATATTTTGTCAGGTAAAATCTGGTAACAACGTATCTACTGATGCCAACCTGCCAAATCTGTCTAAGTGCTGTAGATTGACTGTTCAGATGGTTCTCCTAGTCATTGGCTTTGACTTTCACCACTTTGTTGGGTGGGACTATGCTAATACCATGACTAAGATAAACAGTACTTTTTTGGTGAAAACATGCAAACAGGGTTTACCTAGACTTAAACTGTGCAAGAGGTCACTATCAGCTGGAAAGAACTGGAGAGTTTAGCACATGTCCTTTTGGACCAGAGATTCTCAGGCCAGAGAAAGACTTAAATAGAGCCATAACAAAGTGGTTTTGGACAATCAGAGCTAGGGCAAAGCTGGAATGGCTGCACCCTAAAGCCAGTACCGAGGGCCTTCCCCCAAGTTTGCTGGAGGACTGTGTGGGGGGTACGGTGGGAGCGGAACAGGACCCTCTGTAAAGAATGCAGCTGCAATTGGAATGGAGGTGGCCACACATGACCTCCACAAACTCCACAAAACGGGACAGTCCTCACCAGCAACATGCAGTATAAAATAAATTTTCATGAGGCCTGACATATCCTCCATGCCCTCGGAACTAATTATTCCAATCCTAACACCAACTGTCTATCTCAGGGCTCTTGCTACTATTCTACTACTGGGTCCACTAAATCCACTGCAACAGCCATAGAATATTCACAAACTATACTCACAATTATGGGGTTTACTGGTGAAGTTAACAGGTTACAATTCAGGCTGAAAACACAACACAGTTTTTCTGTCAAGACCGCTACTCATGCATGCTCACAAATCCTTCAACCTTCAGCCTCTTGGCTTTAGGTCAGTGTTACAAAGCTCTGAATCTTCTACAACCAAAAGAAGATAAAATAGATGAATGGGACCTTCTAAGAATCAAACCCCTCTGCACATCCAAACACTTCTCCAACAGGGTAAAAAGGGAAGCCACAGACATAAAAAAGTATTTGGTAATGACATGTCAGAAAAGGGACTTATATTTAGAATTTATAAAATACTTCAACATCAAAACAAGATAAAGGTAAAGAATCCAATTGAAAAATCGGCACAGGCTATGAACAGACACTTCACCAAAGAAGGCATTCAGATGGCCAACAAGCACATGAAGAAATGCTCAAAATCCCTAGCTCTAAGGGATATGCAAATCAACACAACTATGAGATATCATCTCACCCCAGTCAGAATAGCAAAATTTAACAGAACAGCAAGCAACAAATGCTGGCGAGGTTGTGGAGAAACTGGAGCAACCACTGTGGAAGGCGATGTGGCGCTTTCTCAGAAAGTTGCAAATAGAGATACCATTTGATCCAGCAATTCCACTACTGGGAATATATCCCAAAGAGACCATAACTGACATCCAAGCAGATATATGCATACCCATATTTATCGCGGCTTTGTCCACAATAGCAAGGAGTTGGATACAACCTAAGTGCCCATCAACAAACGAATGGATAGAGAAGCTGTGGTACATTCATACAATGCAATACTATGCTACATTGAAAAACAAGGGACTCATGCAATATTATTCAAAATGGGTGACCCTGGAAGACATGCTGAGTGAAATATCTCAGTCACAAAAGGACAAATACTGCATAGTGCCACTGTTGTAAAAAGGGACTGACATCGGGGTTGGAGAGGAGACTGAGAAAGATGGGATAAATAATATATGCTGCTTGAAACAGATGAGGGGGAAAACTATTTAAAAGGGATATGTGATTAGGTATTATTGTCATGACAGGAATCCTGAATGAAGGCTGCATAGTGGAGTAGACCTGGGAGGAGGGACTGTAAAACAATGAGAGAATTTTTCCTTTACTTTTCAAAGAGAAGAGTGAACTGGGGGGAGAGGGGTGGGCAGGGAGAAAAGTGCAACAATGAATGAATGGAAATCCAAAGTCTGTAAATTTTCATTAAAATTATTAATTAAAAAAAAAAAAAGCTCTGAGTCCTGCCATTTACAGTGTGTCCTCCCAAAAGCCTGGGTGTGACCCTGTGGGAAAGCAGTCCCAAGTCAGCTCTGTCTCCTATCAGTCTCTGATTCTCTGCTTCTACTGCTCCTGCTCTGAGGTCCTGGTCTGAATGGCACAGAAATCCCTTTTTCTCTTCTGCTCAATTTAAACCTGGCAGGATGGCAAAACTAACCAATCCCATGGGTCATAGTCTTCATGCCCTGTTTACATGTTCTCACCAACCACATGGTGAAAGTCAGAGGAAATGGTCTGAGGAAGCCATTTGAACAATAAACCCACTACACTACAGGCCTCAGAAGGATCAGCTTTGTACTATTTTGTGTTATGGGAACTCTACCATTTTCTGGAGTTAGTGGAGGTAGGATGATGAGGTTGCCCCATCCCCAGTGCTGTCCTTACTGTTTTTTTTTTTTTACCATCTCTTATAATTTTGCTCTATTCTGGACACAGAACCTTCAGTGCTGGGTCAGGTTGAAACAAGTTCTTAGGGTTGCTAAGCCACATTTATCTGGTGCCCTCTAGAAGATCCCCTGCACCAACCACTTTTGACAGGCAATGAAGGTTTCAATCTCTGAGGAATGCTCACTCAATACCATCACCATGTCATGGCAGGAATAATGTGGGTGTTGCTGTCAGCTTGCTAGCCAGCCCTATCACTGCACTTGCTCCTGATCCCTCACAGATCACAGGCACCATACTCCGTGTTTCTACAAGCCAGTGCGAACATCTTTTCCTATGTGTGAACTCCTATTCTTTTGGGAGTGGGTTCCTTTATTTCCATGCTCTGTGTGTGCTGAAATAGTTCACTTTCTTTCAAAACCACTGATTCAGGTCTTGACAGTTTGACTCATTATCTCTAAATCTATTGCCTAATGTTTTATTTTGTAAAACATGTTTTTAAACTAAAGGAAATCTTTGTTGTGCTGCACTTTGATCTTGCTTTCCAGCTAATTAATTGTTCAGCTCATGAGAGAGGATTTATGACTCTAGCTCTTTGTTGGAATCAGAACAGAGCCCGAGGCATCTACTCAATCACATAAGTCCAAGCAGCTGCAAGGCTTCCGAGAGGCACACAGCTTAGTGCTAGGAAGGAAGGCCATTCTGGCCACCGTGAGGTAAAATCTTTTTATTTACTAGTATACCCAGTTGGTAAACAAGATATATCATGATTTACTTATATGTTTCTCTTGTATTCAATGTAAATACATGTTTATACTGTTTGCCATCATAAATAAAAATGCAGAGAATGTATTTTTATTTCATTATTGAATGATTTCCTTAAATTGGTTCTCTTTGTTAGTAAGTGCTGTGGAGTTGTAGACAACTCACAGTGACCCTATGAACAAAAGTCCGGAACATGCATAACTTTAATCATTTCTCTAAGTTCACAGAGTTTCTGGAGGCAAGCTATTTTGGAAGTGGATACCACTTCTGCTTCCAGGCTTGTTTTGAGAGCTCCGCCAAACACTGTACATAATGGGTAACCATTATCGCATTTGACACGTCAGTGTCACAGTGTTTACCATCACAGCAACCATGAGCTACCTCTGTAGAGCAAATGGACAGACCAGTGCTTTACTACTTAGAAGAATGTTTGACTGAAAACAATTAAAACCAGGAGAGAGGGCCTGTAGGCCGGAAAGCCTAAATGCGTTTTTAAATACAGGCCAAATCCAATCAGCTCACACCCCAACTGCAAGAGCAACAGACCCCACCCAAGCCTCATCCAAAGCAGAAAAGACACCCTTGTAGAATCCAGATGATCTACTCATGTTCCCGCACTTTATAGCAGAAATTTGGTGTCATAGACTTAAGAGTATTGAACTGACACGTTTTTATCACTCTTGGTATATGCTCCTGTAGTGCATTCCTAGAGAGTTTCATTAAATTATTTTCCTCTTAGCTGCTTGCTCTTCACCTTGCATTCACAGTGAGTTCTATGTCAACAGGGCAATAGCTTCTTACTAGTCATAACAGTAGTAAGAAACTGTACTGCAAATCTGAAGGCAAACAAGTTCGAATCTATTAGGGATGCAGAGTCCTCTCCTTCCTCTCCCAGAATGGATACTGAGAGAATCCAGTAACAGGAAACAGCAATTATGCTTTTTCTCTCTGTGAAACTATCCTATCCCTATTTTCCCAGGAATAGTTATCTGAGACCCCAGACCACTTCCCTATCTTGAAGGAAGCATCTGTATTCATCCCCTTCCCCAGTGCCCATGTAAGAAAGTATAAAATTCTGCTCTCTTAGTGGGGGCTGGTCCTCTGCTTGAGAACCAGCCCACAGTTTCTCCTTAATAAACTTTTCTTTCTTCGCCTGCACTGGGTTCTGTCCTTCCTCAGCGACCTTATAGAATCCACCAGCTGGAGGGTCAGCTATGAGTCATTTCAACCAGGGAGAACACAGCACCAGCAGTGGTAATGGCCATCATAGGGCTCTTTCTGGTTTTGGTGGAGGTTTGGGATGAACATTCTTTTAAGTAGTACAGCAGTGGTCTATTTGTTGTACTGAAATAACCTGGAGTTGCTGTGATGCTGAACAACTGTGCCATAGTTGTATCAAACACCATAATGACTACCCATCGTGGGCAGTGTTCAGTAGAGCTCCCAGATTGATTCAGGTTTGGAAGCAGCAGTGACATGCATTTCCTAAACCACATGCCTCTGGAAACTCTATGAACTTGGAGAAATGATGATAGTTATTGAAAGGCTTCAGGCCTTTTGCTTATAAGGTCGCTACGAGTCATGCCTGACTTGATTGCAATCAACAACAGCAACAATGACAAATTTAACATTTATGTGTTGTCAAAATATCAACAGAAAATAAAATAAACGCAATATTAAAAGCAAAGCTAGTTTTAATTCACTGTCTAACTTTGCTTTGTCTGCCTCTTGAAATCAGGAACTGGTTGATACTGTTTATTTCAAGATGACTTCTTTTCTTTGTCTAAAATGAGAGAGAATTGACACCCTTTTCTCCCTTCCTGGTAAGAACCAGGAAAGGGGGAAATCTGTTTTAAGGTGAAATGAAGACAGGAAGACTTCAGAAAATTCCAGAGCAAATTTAAGGTTGATTAAGATTATCTATTTTGCAAATCTGTCAGTCATGATAAAAGGTATATCTATGTGTGTATTAAAGGTAGGATTTAACAGAATGCTCTAATATGAACAGGAATTTTAAGAATATATATGGATTACAGTTTATATTTCCATGTTTGTTTAAGGTTTCTTTCCTTTGTCTACCAATGATACTCAATTATTGACAATCAGGAATAAAACTTGAGCTGTAACAGCTTGTGTCTGTAACAGCTATTACCTTAATGAACGCATAAGAAGTTAATTTGATTTCAGAAACAAAATAGCTGAAAATATTTATGAAGAAATTTTGTTGTATGTCTTACCTCTTCAGGAGGAGTCACCACATAGGGAGGATTAAATACCAAAAGGTCAACCTTTCCCTTCAGCCGTGGTAGCAAGCCTTTGACCTAGATATATTTAATA